CCCACTTTGCCCTCAGGACAGTCTAAATTCGTGGGGGCAAGATGTCGAAGCGTTCCACAAGGATGCTGGCCCATGTTCACCCTCTGAATGGCACACATACACAATCCATGTCTCAATTGTCTCAAGGTTTAAAAAACCTTCTTTAACCTGTCTCCTCCCCTACATCGATTGAAGTGGATTTAACAAGTGACATCAATAAGGGATCCTAGCGTTCACCTGGTCAGTATGTTACGGAAAGAACAGGTGTTCTTAATGTTTTGTATGCTCAGTGTGTGTAATTAATATATATACACTGCTCAAAAAAATAAAAAAATAAACAACACAATGTAACTCCAAGTCAATCACACTTCTGTGAAATCAAACTGTCCACTTAGGAAGCAACACTGATTGACAATACATTTCACATGCTGTTGTGCAAATGGAATAGACAACAGGTGGAAATTATAGGCAATTAGCAAGACACCCCCCAATAAAGGACTGGTTTTGCAGGTGATGACCACAGACCACTTCTCAGTTCTTATGCTTCCTGGCTGATGTTTTGGTCACTTTTGAATGCTGGCGGTGCTTTCACTCTAGTGGTAGCATGAGACGGAGTCTACAACCCACACAAGTGGCTCAGGTAGTGCAGCTCATCCAGGATGGCACATCAATGCGAGCTGTGGCAAGAAGGTTTGCTGTGTCTGTCAGCGTAGTGTCCAGAGCATGGAGGCGCTACCAGGAGACAGGCCAGTACATCAGGAGACGTGGAGGAGGCCGTAGGAGGGCCACAACCCAGCAGCAGGACCGCTACCTCCGCCTTTGTGCAAGGAGGAGCAGGAGGAGCACTGCCAGAGCCCTGCAAAATGACCTCCAGCAGGCTACAAATGTGCATGTGTCTGCTCAAACGGCAGAAACAGACTCCATGAGGGTGTTATGAGGGCCCGACGTCCACAGGTGGGGGTTGTGCTTACAGCCCAACACCGTGCAGGACGTTTGGCATTTGCCAGAGAACACCAAGATTGGCAAATTCGCCACTGGCGCCTGTGCTCTTCACAGATGAAAGCAGGTTCACACTGAGCACGTGTTTGGCGGTGGGTCAGTCATGGTGTGGGGTGGCATTTCTTTGGGGGGCCGCACAGCCCTCCATGTGCTCGCCAGAGGTAGCCTGACTGCCATTAGGTACCGAGATGAGATCCTCAGACCCCTTGTGAGACCATATGCTGGTGCGGTTGGCCCTGGGTTCCTCCTAATGCAAGACAATGCTAGACCTCATGTGGCTGGAGTGTGTCAGTAGTTCCTGCAAGAGGAAGGCATTGATGCTATGGACTGGCCCGCCCGTTCCCCAGACCTGAATCCAATTGAGCACATCTGGGACATCACGTCTCGCTCCATCCACCAACGCCACGTTGCACCACAGACTGTCCAGGAGTTGGCGGATGCTTTAGTCCAGGTCTGGGAGGAGATCCCCCAGGAGACCATCCGCCACCTCATCAGGAGCATGCCCAGGCGTTGTAGGGAGGTCATACAGGCACGTGGAGGCCACACACACTACTGAGCCTCATTTTGACTTGTTTTAAGGACATTACATCAAAGTTGGATCAGCCTGTAGTGTGGTTTTCCACCTTAATTTTGAGGGTGACTCCAAATCCAGACCTCCATGGGTTGATACATTTGATTTCCATTGATAATTTTTGTGTGATTTTGTTGTCAGCACATTCAACTATGTAAAGAAAAAAGTAATTAATAAGATTATTTCATTCATTCAGATCTAGGATGTGTTGTTTAAGTGTTCCCTTTATTTTTTTGAGCAGTGTATATTTAATATTTTTCTCTTGGACCCTGTGTGAGAAACCTGCACGCATTGCTGAATATCCAAATGTGCTTGGACAACGAGGCTCGGTCAATTGTAGGCTACATTTTCTCACGGACAGCATGGGAAACCACCCAATGTAAAAATCCACTATAAAAGCCTGGTTAGCTCTCTGCAGTTCCCCCTTTGATTTTTCCTTGACTGGAACCTCTCTGCCTTCTGCTGAACTTGTGACTCAGTACCCTTCCCTACAGACCACAGCAGACGGAGCGGGAATAAGGAGCCTGTAGCACAAGATGCGTGGCAGCAACAGATTCAGTTTTAATTGAACTCACAGCACTTCAAAGACTTGACACAGAACAGCTCAGGCCTGTCGGTCGGTCGGACGGAGGTCACTGCTACACACACACTGTCCCGCTGTTCCTCAACCTCAGGTCTCAATAAAAAAAAACATTTACATCAAGATGACATGTTTGTTTTACTTTATTTCCCTGCGAAAGTAAATGGTTCAGAGAAATCTATAAGTAGTACTTAAGAAAGGACACACCAGTTTCCTGTAAAGGATGAAGATAAGAGCTTGGCCAAAGTAGAAAACCACTGGATCCCCAAAATAGAGCCGGGGCACCCATGTGAAGAGCATCTGATGTATGAGCACAAATGACAGAAGTACAATAGAGCTAATTTAGCATTAAATCTCAGTGAGTTTTACAAGTACTTTCCTCCTCGCATGGTTATTGGGAAATAAAGAACCACATTTTCTTTCTTCAACTTTTTGATGTTTGCACATGACCTAAAATGGAATATAATCAACCGTTGTGACCACCATAAAAAAATGGTTTAACATGTTCTTATAAGAAAATAATAATGAACTGTATGACCTGTGAAACAACATGTTGAAGCTGAAATCCAGTGCACACATTTGGTGAGCTTAGGGGCTTTCTGGGTTGGGGTTTCTCGGATGTGCTGTTCAAACTGATTTTAATGTGGCGCTCCACAATGATCTCAGGTGGTAACCTAGGCCTACAGTTTGTGGCCAAAAGGTTGGTTTCTTGTTTTGATGAACATTTGTTCATAAAACACAGTTCTATTCCCTGCTCAAACAAATTTTATGAGACACTACATTTCTCCTATAATATTCCCTCAGTTTCTCAAAATCACTTCTGACAAACACGGTTTCAAAAGGACATCAGGGTATATCAAGAATATACTTCAATGACTATAAAATGACAACCTTCCCAGGGCTGCACTAAAGTACACTGGACACTTTGGGTGAAATTTCGTATCTTGACAATTATACAGTTCGAATTTTGGAGTACTATTATATACATTCTGTAGCTTTCTTTGGGCTCAGGAAAAACCAAAAGAACCACAATATATGCATGATGATAAAATGACAAACATAACTACAGCTCATCATCAAATCATAGCAAGGGAAAAGACACCAGAGAAACAACTTTCAAATCCCATTATATAATCTACAAAGAGCTTGGCTATATGATCACAGAATACAGCAGTTAGAAACTGCAAAGACACCGACAACAAGGCACCTTAAGCCACAATCCAAATGCTTCCATTGAAAACCCCCATCTGAGACTAGCAAATACAGTCCGCACATAATGAGTCAACATTATTAGCTCAGTGGTCTGTGGAGCACACTGCTCGTCAGACCTGGGTTCAAATACTATTTAGGGTATTTCAATTACTTTCAAAATACATTTCGAAGCAAGTATTTGGATATGTTTTCCTTGAAAATAAGTAGTTGAATATTGGAATGTACTTGAAAATACTCAAATACACAGACAAGTGCATTTAAATACTCAATGCATTCGAACCTGGTCCTATAGGTTTTTCAAAATAGTTTCAAATAGTAGGCTATTTATAGGAAACTATTAGAAAATACTTTCTAATACTTCAAATAGAAGTAGTTCATTTCTGCCACATTATTAGAAAATACTCAAACACAAAAGAAAATAAGCATTTTACTAAATACTTAGATGCATGTACTGTATTTGAACCCAGGTCTGCTGCTTGTCTATTGGTTGAAGGAATTGTATGATACACTATACATAGGAAGATGGCTGCTCACACAAATTAGGGAGTAGGATAATAGCAATCAATTGCATTTGATAGAACTATGGCCAGAATGTGTACATACAGTATGCTACTCTATGTGTGTTTGTTTATTTGAGTCTGTCTCCCGCTTTTCCCTGCTCTTTAGTTTAGTCCATGCAGCATATTTCAACATTTTTAAAACCCAAGTAAATTGGAGATAACGTTCTGAAATGGAGGACTTCAGGTGCTACCTGAACTTGTCCAATAAGAGCACTCATTTTTGTTTTCTGTTCTGATTTTTTTTCTCCCATTTCCTTCTACTGAATACAACTATGATGTTCTCATAATAACAGTCATTGATAAACAATAATAAAGGGATGGTACTATACATACATTGTTATTAAACAATACACACAGCCCGCCCCTCGCCCCTCAGCACAATAATATAACATACAACTGGCAAGTACAGAAGAGCAAGATAAGAACCTTGACAATAAATCCAACAGTATTAGGTCCCTTGTGCCTTCTCCTCCATAGGGTGTTAGAGCTCTGAGTTCCACTCTGCCCTCCCGCCGTCTGTCCTGTTCTCTCACTGCAGATGGCTTGATCACAACCCGCAACCCTCACCCTCTGCCTTGTAGAGCTCTACCACACCAGAGCCAGATCCCCTAGAGCCAAGCCCACTCTGTCTAGTAGGGTCATTTGGTTAAAACCCACTGAACTGGTGAAATTCACCCCTACTCCTTTCCTAGTGGCACACAAAGATAGTGTCCTTCTTCATTACACAGTCACTCCCAGTCAGGTCACATACAGTATGGTACAGTTCATTCACTTATAGAGGGAAAAAAGGGAGACAACCATGAAGCAGTCAGTCAGAAAACTACAGATGCACTTTTGTTTGAAGTATCCTCCGTATGGTTGATTTATGATGACAGCTTTAAGATGATGTCCCCACATCCCGCCACTGGGCTGGGGAAGAACCCATTTCAGCCTTTGGTTCCAAAGAACCTCCAAAGACACAATCCGAAAGGGTCTCTCGCAAACATGGTCCAGTCAGAGGGGCTGAGGTGATTGGATGAGGGTAAAAAAGGGTTTAAAAAAAAGCATCTTTCTCCCTTATTAAAAGACATATGCATGGAGGTCAGGGAGAGGGGGTGAGTCACTGGTAACCCACTGGGCTGTCCATGAGGGGGCTGGAGTAATAGGGGTCTGGGGGGTCCTGGAGCTCTGTCTCGACAGTCTCAACCTGGTCCTCCTCCTCCTCCTCCTCTCTGTCCTGGGAGCTGGCCATGGTCCCGTAGCTCTGGTGAGCTGGGGAGGGCATGGGGGTCAGGCCTAGCTCTGGCTCCAGCAACACAGATGCCACAAACAGCTGAGGGGGAAGACACAGAGAAAGAGATAAGTTACTAATGACTCAAACGGAAATGACTCATACATATCTTCTAGTTATGAGCTTATTGTACAACTGTGTGAGGAATTGAGAGTGGTGTGAATGAAGAAAGGCAGGTACATTGGAGGGGGTAGTGGAGGGGGTGGAGCTTCTCTCTGCATCAGCGAAGGCCCCTTCTGCTGGCTGGTCAGCAGACATCTGGTCAAACATCTGAAACACATTGGCTCAGCGATAATTAAGCCATTGAGGGCCAGTGCTCTACACCAACCAGGGAGGGGGGTGTCTCAAGAGCATAGCTGCACTGCTACAGCAGATGCTTAAATACCACCATCTCATAAAGACATAGCCCATGGTCAAAGTACTTAGGCTTAATAAATGACATTACATAGAGTTTATCGTCAAAAACTATAAAGGATCTGCTAGCCCAAACACCAGTACAGCACTATGTCCCATTGTTCATACTGTCGCTGACCTGGTAGCTTGATGACTTGTCAGGCTGTTTCCTAAGGCATAGGCCAAAGAGGGAGAAGACAAGGCAGGAGAGCAGCAACACAAAGGTGAAGAGGGTGATGGGACGCATTGGGCCTGGAGCACAAGAGAAGAACCACAATCAAGACCACATCACCATATATGACCACTCTAGCAGCCACTAAGTTATATCTGACTAACAGTGGGTAACCCACATGTATCGGTCTGTTTGATAGGCTACGGTAACAAGAACCAGGAAGTACCCAGTCTGAGCACAGAGAAGAACAGGAGCCAGAACATGCAGAGGATGGGCGCCACGATGACCTGGCTGATGGCTGCAGTGTGGATGCGCTGGTTGAGCTTGGTGGGCACGTAGGCATAGTAGATGTTGTAGCGGTCCACCATGTGTTTCAGGATCAGGTAGAGCAGCCCTGAGAGACAGACACACACAGAGAGACAGGCAACACAGAGCTGACTGATGAGGACATATGCAGCCAATCACCTATTGTAAGTGCTAACTTCAGTCTAAAGCATAGTTGAGGTCAATTCAACTCCCATTCCTGTCGGTTGACTTCGGAATTTACTAGAATTTAGATGGAATTGACCCCAACTCTGGGCTACAGAGTGAATGACAGGTTAAAGACAGCATGCAGCTGAGCCCAGGCCTAGAACAATGTGGAAGGCAGGGGTCAAGGCCTGGAGAGTAGTAGTAATAGTAGCGGCTCTGGGCAGAGACAGGAGTGGAGTGGGCGTCTGGCTCACAGCTCGCTGTGTCTGAGCGTCTGGGACTACAGCACATTCACTTCACAGTCTGCACCAGGCTGGCAGCAGAGGTGATGAAGTTTACAGTATCAGGAGAGAGGCTCCCACTGAGCACACACACACACACAGGAAGGAGGCACACACACACACACCGGAGGAGGAAGAAGGTGAGAAGGAAAGATAAACATGCTTCTTTAGCCTACACACACACACACACACACACACACTCACTCACCAAAGGGCATGATGATGGGACAGGTGATACTGTAAGTCATGCTAACAGCATAGATGCACATGGTCCAGGCATACTCCAGACCAAACTGGAACTCATAGGCCTGGCTCTGGAGAGACGGACAAAACACACAATTGAAAAAAAAGGTTATTTGATGCATCAAAGAAACACACAAATAATACAGTAAAATACCGCTCCTCTCACCCGTTTGACGTGGATGCGCTCGGCCCCGGGCTTGGCGAAGCAGAGACGCAACGCATACACCATTAGGGCTGGGATACGCAGCAGCTCCATGGCCGTGCCGATCAGGCTGGACGTGATCACGTAGTTCACAAAGAACGCTCCGTTATCAGGCAGGAACACACACCTGCACACACAGGTGACATTTATTTAATTATTTTTTATTTCGTCATATCCAAATTGGTAGTTACAGTCTTGTCCCATCGCTGCAACTCTGGAGAGGCGAAGGTCGAGAGCCGTGCGTTCTCCAAAACACAACCCCGCCAAGCCGCACTGCTTCTTGACACAATGCACGCTTAACCCGGAAGCCAGCCGCACCAATGTGTCGGAGGAAACACTGTATACCTGGCAACCGTGTCAGCGTGCATGCGCCCGGCCCGCCACAGGAGTCACTACAGCGCGATGGGACAAGGACATCCCAGCCAACCAAACCCTCCCCTAACCCAGACGACGCTGGGCCAATTGTGCGTCGCCTCATGGTTCTCCCGGTCGCGGCCGGCTGCGACACAGCCCGGTATCGAACCAGGATCTGTAGTAACGCAGCTTGCACTGCGATGCAGTGTCTTAGACCGCTGCGCCACTCGGGAGGCCAGAGGTGACATATCTTAGAAGTGTGTTTACCGTGGTAGTTCTGTCAAAGCTAGCTAAGCAGATGGTACCATAGCATTAGAGGGCCGGACAATTAGACTTACTCAAATTTAACATCCTTGTCTTCCAGGAAGTTGACATCAAACAGCCACCTGAAGAACAGATCCAGACTAGAGTAGGGCAAAGGTGAGAAAAGAAGCACAGGTATGTTAGAGCATAAGCACAGGATCTTGTAATCTCTGTAATGATCATAGCAGGGCGCTATAAATTATCTGTTACATGTCAGCATGTATGTTTCTATATTCATACCTGGATAGACCCAGTGAGGGCAGGATGATCACCATGAACACCAGCAGTACAAAGCACTTGTGCATCGTGATTTGGTTCTCACTGGATCTAAGGACACCACAACATAGACCATATTACAACAGAGGACATGTAGTTATAAAACACATGTTTTGAACATGCAGTACATGTTAGAATTTGAAATCATTTCAGGAGACAGAACACTAATGATAGAAGCGCACACAAACACAAATTGCACTCACTCACACACGACATTCAAAAAGCAACATCTCACATATTTAATAATTCAGTTTCAAATGCAAACAACTTAGTGAGCTCATTACCACGAGCAGAGCTTTTCACACCAATAACTGTAAACATTTGATTTCCATTAAGTCCTTCACAACATATGGGTGGGTGGTGGGGGAGGTAATGTAAAGAGACAGTGCTCATAGGTGCCGTGTGAGGTTGTCTCCTCCGGATGCAGAGCTATTCTGCTCCTCAGTGCATAGTGACCACTGTGCATATCATTATCTCCACAGAAATCGCTATGACAACCTGACTAGAGAAGTAATGCAGGCAAACAGAGCACACACACAGAGAGAGAGAGAGAGAGAGAGAGAGAGAGAGAGAGAGAGAGAGAGAGAGAGAGAGAGAGCGAGAGCGAGAAAAACTGTGAGAGGTATTGTGTAATTGAAGAGGGTCTGAGGAAGATGAATAAAGTGTTTTGTCTTTTCAGGGACAGAAGTGAGCCTTCGGTTGAGGAGAGTGTCAGGCAGTATCTGCTTGGCCTGCAGCAGTGCAGTACTCTACCTGGTCCAGTGAGACTCGAAGAAGGCTGAGTAATAGACTATGAAGGGCAGCAGGACAGAGAACGCCCAGAGCAAGAGAGTAGGGAAGAACTGAGTGATGATCGGGCTCTATGGGGAGAAACCAAAACCTCATGAGTTCATCATAATATAGTTTATTCTGGAAATACAGAGTTTATTTGCTTTTGTACAGCACCACCACCCCATTAGGCCCATTCAAGCACTGTAATTCAGAAATGAACTCTGACCCTCAGGCTGTCCACAGGCCGGGTGACGTTGAACCTGTCCATGGTATTGACGATGATGGCGGGAGTGGTGAGGAAGAAGAGGAGGAGGAAGAGGAGGATGTTGAGCAGGATGCAGCGGAGCCACCAGCGGGAGCCACACACTGAGAGGTTCTCCCTGGAGACACAGAGGTAAACACGGAGGTCACTGATCTATCCTGATGGACGGCTGACATGACTACTGTGTATATCCACAAAGTATGAATACAACAAAAACAACCCCTAATGTGGGAGGGAATAAAAAAACAAGACCACACTGGAGTGGATAACAGGTTGGATACAGCACACTCGAGTGCTCGGTTTCAGTTAGTCATTGGTCGACCCCAGAGCCTGTGAAAACACCAAGGAGCAGTGCTACTCCCTCCGCACGAACACACACAGCCAATGAGGCATGAAGCACAGTGAGCACCGCTTGGCAGGGCTGTCTCATTGGCTAATCCCCCCATACATACAGTGGGGAGAACAAGTATTTGATACACTGCCGATTTTGCAGGTTTTCCTACTTACAAATCATGTAGAGGTCTGTAATTTTTATCATAGGTACACTTCAACTGTGAGAGACGGAATCTAAAATAAAAATCCAGAAAATCACATTGTATGATTTTTAAGTAATTAATTTGCATTTTATTGAATGACATAAGTATTTGATACATCAGAAAAGCATAACTTAATATTTGGTACAGAAACCTTTGTTAGCAATTACAGAGATCATATGTTTTCTGTAGGTCTTGACCAGGTTTGCACACACTGCAGCAGGGATTTTGGCCCACTCCTCCAGATCCTTCAGGTTTCGGGGCTGTCGCTGGGCAATACAGACTTTCAGCTCCCTCCAAAGATTTTCTATTGGGTTCAGGTCTGGAGACTGGCTAGGCCACGCCAGGACCTTGAGATGCTTCTTACGGAGCCACTCCTTAGTTGCCCTGGCTGTGTGTTTCGGGTAATTGTCATAATGGAAGACCCAGCCACGACCCATCTTCAATGCTCTTACTAAGGGAAGGAGGTTGTTGGCCAAAATCTTGCGATACATGGCCCCATCCATCCTCCCCTCAATACGGTGCAGTCGTCCTGTCCCCTTTGCAGAAAAGCATCCCCAAAGAATGATGTTTCCACCTCCATGCTTCACGGTTGGAATGGTGTTCTTGGGGTTGTACTCATCCTTCTTCTTCCTCCAAACACGGCGAGTGGAGTTTAGACCAAAAAGCTTTATTTCGGTCTCAGACCACATGACCTTCTCCCATTCCTCCTCTGGATCATCCAGATGGTCAATGGCAAACTTCAGACGGGCCTGGACATGCGCTGGCTTGAGCAGGGGGACCTTGCGTGCGCCGCAGGATTTTAATCCATGGCGGCGTAGTGTGTTACTAATGGTTTTCTTTGAGACTGTGGTCTCAGCTCTCTTCAGGTCATTGACCAGGTCCTGCCGTGTAGTTCTGGGCTGATCCCTCACCTTCCTCATGATCATTGATGCCCCACGAGGTGAGATCTTGCATGGAGCCCCAGACTGAGGGTGATTGACCGTCATCTTGAACTTCTTCCATTTTCTAATAATTGCGCCAACAGTTGTTGCCTTCTCACCAAGCTGCTTGCCTATTGTCCTGTAGCCCATCCCAGCCTTGTGCAGGCCTACAATTTTATCCCTGATGTCCTTACACAGCTCTCTGGTCTTGGCCATTGTGGAGAGGTTGGAGTCTGTTTGATTGAGTGTGTTTACAGGTGTCTTTTATACAGGTAACGAGTTCAAACAGGTGCAGTTAATACAGGTAATGAGTGGAGAACAGGAGGGCTTCTTAAAGAAAAACTAACAGGTCTGTGAGAGCCGGAATTCTTACTGGTTGGTAGGTGATCAAATACTTATGTCATGCAATAAAATGCAAATTAATTACTTACAAATCATACAATGTGATTTTCTGGATTTTGGTTTTAGATTCCGTCTCTCACAGTTGAAGTGTACCTATGATAAAAATGACAGACCTCTACATGCTTTGTAAGTAGGAAATCCTGCAAAATCGGCAGTGTATCAAATACTTGTTCTCCCCACTGTATGTAACCTCAGAGGGGCTGATGGTTATCACTTCATTTCATTTTATAACTGATGTCAAATGGACTTTAGAACTACCAATGGACAATTTCACTGTAAAAAATAAAATCACGATCTAAGACATCTCACACTATTCTAAAAGCCATCTAATTTAATTGGTTAAATGGTTGAGTGGCCCTCTTGTAAGAGTAAGTAACACAGATTAACGACATGCGCACTGCAATTGATTTTCAAAGGTGATTTACAGTGCATTCGGAGAGTATTCAGTCCCCTTTACTTTTTCCACATTTTGTTACGTTACAGCCTGAATCTAAAATGGATTCAATTGTTTTTTTCCCACTCATCAATCTACACACAATACCCTATAAAAGACCAAGCAAAAACAGGTAGACATTTTTGCACATTTATTAAAAATATCACATTTACATAAGTATTCAGACCCTTTACTCAGTACTTTGTTGAAGCACCTTTGGCAGCGATTACAGCCTTGAGTCTTCTTGGGTATGACGCTACATGCTTGGCACACCTGTTTTTGGTGTGGTTCTCCCATTCTTGTCTGCAGATCCTCTCAAGCTCTGTCAGGTCTCTCCAGAGACGTTCGATGGGGTTCATGTCCGGGCTCTGGCTGGGCTACTCAAGGACATTGTCCCGAAGCCACTCCTGCGTTGTCTTGGCTGTGTGCTTAGGGTCGTTGTCCTGTTGGAAGGTGAACCTTCGCCCCAGTCTGAGCGCTCTGGAGCAGGTTTTCATCAAGGATCTCTCTGTACTTTGCTCTGTTCATCTTTCCCTCGATACTGACTAGTCTCCCAGTCCATGCTGCTGAAAAACATCCCCACAGCATGATCCTGCCACCACCATGCTTCACCGTAGGGATGGTGCCTGGTTTCCTCCAGATGTGACGCTTGCCATTCAGGCCAAATAGTTCAATCTTGGTTTCATCAGACCAGAGAATCTTGTTTCTCATGGTCTGAGTCCTTTAGGTGCTTTTTGTGAAACTCCAAGTGGGCTGTCATGTGCCTTTTACTCTACCATAAAGGCCTGATTGGTGGAGTGCTGCAGAGATGCTTGTCCTTCTGGAAGGTTCTCCCATCTCCACAGAGGAACTCTGTTGCTCTGTCAGTGACCATCAGGTTCTGGTCACCTCCCTGACCAAGGCCCTTCTCTCCCGATTGCTCAGTTTGGCCGGGTGGCCAGCTCTAAGAAGAGTCTTGGTGGTTCCAAACTTCTTCCATTTAGGAATGATGGAGGCCACTGTGTTCTTGGGGACCTTCAATGATACAGAAATGTTTTGGTACCCTTCCCCAGATCTGTGCCTCGACACAATCCTGTCTCGGAGCTCTACGGACAATTCCTTGGTTTTTGCTCTGACATGCACTGTCAACTGTGGGACCTTATATAGACAGGTGTGTGCCTTTCCAAATCATGTCCAATCAATTAAACTTACCACAGGTGGACTCCAATCAAGCTGTAGAAACATCTCAAGGATGATCAATGGAAACAGGATGCACCTGAGCTCAATTTCGAGTCTCATAGCAAAAGCTCTGAATACTTATGTAAATAAGGTATCTGTTTTTTATTTTTAATACATTTGCAAAAATGTCAAAAAACCTGTTTTCTCTTTGTCATTATGGGTTATTGTGTGTACATTGATGATATTTGTAAAAAAATCTATTTTAGAATAAGGCTGTAATGTAACAAAAAAGTTAAGGGGTCTGAATACTTTCCGAATACACAGTATGCTTGAGCCGTCAAACGATGAACACAATCTGTGCAAACATCTTTAAAAGCCTGTTACTGTTACTAGCGCTGACCTTGCTGATAGCTATTTTCTTTCTCAATAAGTAGCTTACTATGACTGGGATACGCGGTTGTCTCTCTTTGCTACTAACTGTAATACTAACTGCTAATGCACTAACTGTAAGTCGCTCTGGATAGTAGCGTCTGCTAAATGACTAAAATCTAAATGTAAAAATGCAGGGCACTGCTTGTTAATATGTGCCAGTTTCAAATCCCGGCCTAAGTACAGTATATTTTAATTCATCTATCAGGTAAGATAAAGCTACTAAATAGTTTGATAACTTAACCAACGGGAGGGAATTTCTAGTCATAATCTGCTTTAGATAACCTCCCTCACTCACCAGATGATGTCGCTTGGTGCCGGGGCGTAGTCTACACCCCACCTGTGAGACTGAACTACCGTGGTGATGCTAGACTGCTGGGGTCTCTGACGGCAACGGACCCGGCTGTAGTCCTTGACAATACTGTAGGGAGAAACACAACACACATAGACACAAAGTCATCAGACAAAACAGGCAGAGACACACTCATGAACATATTCAATCAAACCCTGTAACAGGGATTTGGGAGAAAGTAAAAAAGATAATTTGGCACTCCATGCATGCACTGCGGGAGACTGCAGTACAGTGCATTACCATGTCACTCAGAGGTCAGGGGTCATAGTTTACTCACACAGCAGTCATCCTTTCATCCCGAAAGGTCACAAAGGCGATGCCCAGCCTCATGAGCGAGATACGATGCTTCTCTGCATTAAACTCATCAGTCAGTTTCTCCTCCAACTCACTGTAGTACTGCTCTGCATCCACCTGCAACGAGTTGAAAATATAGATTAGCTACATTCTGGTATTATTAATCAAGTCTTGTTGTATCCCTTATTGTATTTCAATTCAGACAGCTGCTCAAATCTAAATTTAGTTATTTAGTGCCATCCAGTGGCAATATGCAATCAATGCAACATAATTTCTATGACCAAGATTCACTGTAACATTTCTGTTACAAATGCACCTGCTCAAAGCTGCACACGTCACAGCAGAAGATGGTTGCACAGGGGTGGGTCTTAATCATGATCTTCCCCTCCTTCTGGGCCTTAGTGGTAAAATACAACCTTCCTTTCATCGCCTTCCGTCTGAAACACAACAACTCAAATCTGCACAAAACCACAAAAAAAACGATTGAACTAATTTCTCCATATTGTCATAGTTACTGTACCTCTCAGAGTCCAGCCTCATCAGTTTGTGTACATTGAAGCAGAAGCGGAGGTCAGTGACAGTACAGCTGGGGTAGGCCTCACTAGAGTGGAGGGAAGAGGGAACAGAGTTAAACCACCTATCCACACCAGGTGTATTAGTATCAGCTGTAACTTGAAAGAGTAAGGAAAGTGGGAAGTAAACATTTAAGATTACTGGAAGTGTTTGGTGATGAGGCCTGGGTCTGAGATCTCTCTGGGGATGCAGGTGATCATGAGAGTCCTGGCCACCTGACAAAAAACAATATGTTTCACAATAATACAAGTAAGATGGTAACAATGCATTACACACACCAAAGGGAGTCTCTTTCAGTTTTCAGAGACAGTAACCTGACCATGTTGTAATCATTACACATTTGGCTAAGTTTGAGGAGCCGTCACACACCTTCTCGTCCTCTCTGTACTCCAGGCGTGAGGAGTGGTGGGCCATACACAGCACTGTGATGATGAAGTAGAGCAGAGCAAAGATACTGTGGAGCCACAGGAAGCTGTCCCTAACAGGAAAGAAAATAAAAGGCATTCCACATGACTGTTGGATAACCATGACGGTCTCAAGATATTCTTGAACATTTCTTGAAGAATTATGAATCCTCTGCAAAAAGAGAAGCCATAGCCCTTTGACCTACTTGGCAGGAAGATTAGCCACAGTCGTTCTTCCAAAATTTTCTGGATTATCCCCTATAGAAAAGACAACATAGGACAAATGTGTGTAATAGTTATTTTTATATAGTAAAGGGAGGGACTTTAAACACCCACACCAGTAGAAATCCACTTTTTACCCATGATGCACAAAGTATGATATATCTGGGCTTGAAGTGACAAATCTGAACTGCCCACTTTGTGCAAATCCGTGTAAATGCAGTGTCTTATGCTATGATATGAAATACAAATTATTTTCAGTCTACGTTTTGTTTCAGGGCTTGGTTTTATTTGAATGTTACCATCCAGCAGCATGGCAATGTTTATTAATCAGAAACAGCTGCAAAGTTATTCCTCTTCGTGACTGAGCCAAACAGCCTCGGGCCGCCTGAGCTATGGAGCAAACAAAAATACAGGGTGCACCTCTACTTTCATTTGCCAGAAAATTATCATAATCCATTTGACAAATTATCCATGTTCACATAGTTATGAGCTAGTCTGTATGAATTTTATAAAATGGTATAATTGCGTGATATGATTGCATTTTGCAAACCCGCTCCCACCGACACCAAGATGAATGGTTTTGACAACAAAAGTTTTGCTTCACTCTCCGCAAAATAAAATTCAAGGAAGTTCTAGATGGGTTAGCTGACAACGTCACGAAAACGATGTGCGCGGTTCCATGGGCAGTAGTCAGCGTGTTGTTGTGATTCTGGGTGGCCAGATTGCTAGCAAGAATGACAAGAAACTGCCATGTGGGGAATCGTTATTGTCTCGTTTCATATTGTTCTTGATACCATGTCTTGTTTTGAGGCGTTTTAACTGATTTAATGTCAACGCAAAAATGGCAAAAATTCGCTAGCTAGCTAACCAACAACTGTAACGATGTATTTGAGAGACAAGTACTCATGCAAATGTATGTTTTCAATAAACATAGGAGACAAAGTATAGTTTACATGTTGTCAACAATCTAAGCCAACCCAGTCTGTTTTGCCCCATAGTTGCACATGTGTCGGTTTTGTTGCTAAACAACCAACCTGTCTATAGTTACATTTCATTTGCGGCGTGCATGATCATGAACAAAGTCATTGTAGCTTATCAGTGTGGGTGGATGACAAGCGGAGCTTCACTGTTCATGTGCAGAACTTGATAAGGAAGCTCAAGATGAGAATAGGTTTTTATTACCGGCATAAGGCTTGTTTTTCTCTGAAGGCCAGGAAAGAGCTGGTAGGATGTACATTACTGGCGGCTTTAGATTTTAGGTGATGTTATATACACTACCAGTCAAAGGTTTATTTATATAATATAATAATAATAATAATAATAATAATAATAATAATAATAAGCCATTTAGCAGACACTTTTATCCAAAGCGACTTACAGTCATGTGCGCATACATTTTTTTACGTATGGGTGGTCCCGGGGATCGAACCCACTACCCTGGCGTTACAAGCGCCATGCTCTACCAATTGAGCTACAGGCACACTTAACCAGCATGGCTACCACAGCATTCTGCAGCGATACAACATTCCCATCTGGTTTGGGCTTAGTGGGACTATCATTTGTTTTTCAACAGGACAAATCACCCAACACACCTCCAGGCTGTGTAAGTGCTATTTTACCAAGAAGGAGAGTGATGGAGTGCTGCATCAGATGACCTGGCCTCCACAATCCCCCGACCTCAACACAATTGAGGTGGTTTGGGATGAGTCGGACGGCAGAGTGAAGGAAAAGCAGCCAACAAGTGCTCAGCTTATGTGGGAACTCCTTCAAGTCTGTTGGAAAAGCATTCCAGGTGAAGCTGGTTGAGAGAATGCCAAGAGTGTGCAAAGCTGTCATCAAGGCAAAGGGTGGCTATTTGAAGAATCTCCAATATATTTTGATTCAACACTTTTTTGGTTACTACATGATTCAATGTGTTATTTCATAGTTTTGATATCTTCACTATTATTCTACAATGTAAAAAATTGTTTAAAAATAAATAAAATAAAAAAACTTGAATGAGTAGGTGTGTCCAAACTTTTGACTGGTACTGTATATGCAGGCCTCAACCACTACCCTGAGAGCACTTGATTCAGTATATCATGCAGCCCTCAGGTTCATTACCAATCAAAAACGTCTAACACATCATTGTGATCTCTACAGCGCCATTGGCTGGTCGTCATTGACCTTGCGTAGGCTTAAACACTGGAATACACTGATTTATACGGCCATACTGGGTAAATGGCACTTTCTCTGTTCTTTTTTAATCAGGTCAGTAAATAAATTATCAATTACGGTCCCATTCTCATTTGCTTTTAACAATACCAAGAATTAGAACAGGTCATGGTAGAAATAGTTTTAGTTACTCAGCTCGGTGGTCCTGGAATTCTCTCCTGAACATTTTACAATGTGATGATCTAGTCATGTTGGTGGAGTTTAAACACTTGGTCGATGTAAATTTCATAGAAGAGTGTAATTGTCTTTAGGACAGCTGTTTTTTAGTTATGACATTTGTGTTTCTTTATGTAATATGTCATTGTTGTACTGTATGTGTGTCTATAGTTTTCTTCAATGTGTTAGTGTATGTAAGTTGTTTTGTCTGAAACGTTGTTCCCCCTGTTGCTGTTGGACCAGGTCTCTCTTGAAAATGGATTTTATCTCAATGAGAAAAACCTGTATAAATAAAAGGTTAAATAAAAAAAATATTTCACTTCCCAGGTGTCATTTCACTCTGTCTGTGTTTGTATCTGTGGTGTGTGTGTGTGTGTGTGTGTGTGTTTGTTTGTTTGTTTGTTTGTTTGTTTGTTTGTTTGTTTGTTTGTTTGTTTGTTTGTTTGTTTGTTTGTTTGTTTGTTTGTGTGTGTGTGGCCTACATTTAGGATCTCCCTGGTGTCATGACTCTCCTGGGTGAGGATCCAAGGCCTCAGATCAGCTTGGCAATGGCTGACAATAACCAGACCCCTCTCACCAACAGAAGAGGGAAGGGGGCTGGGACGGTTTTGACCCCTCACACCCTGTCATAAATTAGGGAGGAGGGGAATCTCTCTCTTGCTCTCCAGTATTGATTTGAATGTCCCTTTGTCTACAGAATACTTTTCCCGCCCAAAACTATAACGTCCAAAAAGTAAACACTGGAACAATATTTCTAAGATAAGAATGTGGGGAATGGTCAGTTTGGTCATGTTTATTATTTTGTGATGTCATTAAGAATGGTATCAAGAAAATACTGTAACTTGGAGAGTATACACACTGTGTGTCAGGTTTTCATCCTTTACGTTGTGTATATAATATTAGAGTATTTTTGTTAAAATAGTAATGTGATTTTAGTTTTCTAACGATATCATCGTTTTTGATGATACTTTCGCCAGTCAGTAGCCACGCCCCGAGTGAGCTCAGAGATCGTGTCAGCATGATGGAACGGCCCTTTTACCAAGAGTGCATAAAGGCTTGAAAGAAAAATTAACATTAGACCAGAAAGACGTGGAGTGGTTGCTACATGGCTGAAAATGGTTGGAACGTTGAACCTCAACACGAGGTGAAGAAGATCAGCTCCCAGACTAGACCTGAACATCGCCAGGCTGCAGCTGTGTGTGTAAGGTGGTTCAAACTCTGACTAACCACACGAGGTGGAGAAGAAAGCTCCCCTCAGACAAATCACTGGTGACACTGAGTAGCTGTTCTGAAGAAATACACCACTGGTGACCGGACAACTAAAACGAAGGACATTGTGACATCTGGTGGACAATCAGAGCCTTACAAGTGACCCACCGGAGAACCAGCTAAACCCTTTTTAAGAAGGCTTGGTCCGACAGAAATAAAAGGCGAACGAAGGCATTGAAACACGTAAATACATGAATGATTTCTTACTCCAAACGGGCAGTGGTTCGTGTGCAAAGTAAATGATTACTGTGAGCGTAGTTTCAAAATGTACGATAAGTGTTGTGCCTCTCCCTCTCTAGGTAACCAAGCAGTAATGTTGTTGTTAGTCCGCTAGGGACTTTTTCTCATGTATTAAGTGTGTATGTTATTCTGTGTTAGTATTTAGTTAGCTAGTAAATAAATATTTAAACCAATTTGCGTAGTGCTGAATCATAAGTAAAGCTGGGGTTCTTGCAGATCCAAGAAGCCTACGACCGTTCAGAATGAGACTGATAAGAGGTAATGATTAATACATTGACTGTTTTATACATATTGATAGGTAAATACCTTTTATAGTTTCATTCGGGAGATGGTAACTCTATAAACAACTTATTCCGTGGTGCCCCAAATCCTAATGAGTTAATTGTTACCTGATTAATTTAAATCGAGTAACAATTAAACATAGTTAGTTGATTCGATAAATAACAGTCATCATATTAATGAAAGTCACGTCACGACACTGGGCAGACTTTGTCCGTTTGTGTTTAACTGTGGCGTGTGTGTGTGCGCATGCGTGCTAGCCCACCCGTGTAGGTGTCTGTGTATGCATGTGTGGCCTGGTCTCTCCCGGCGAGGTGCCCCTCTACCTCCCCTGGCATCTAGGATATCCCTGGGCCTCCCAACATAGGCTAAGGCTTCCCTCTAAATTACCTAGGAGGTTCCCGGAAAAGTTGACAGGCAGGATGATGGCCAAAGACAGTAGGCAGACTACAGTCATGAGCAGGATGATGTGGCGCTGGAAGGACAGGTAGGTCGTTGCGTCGATGCCACACTTACTCCTGATCTCCTCATCCCTGGAGGCAACACAGAGAGAGAGGTTCTAAAACTGGGCAGGGAAGAGAGGCTCTTCCCAGGGTACCAGGATTTAAACTAAGGAGTACAAACTAAGGAGTACCCTAAAGAGCACAGAGTTACAAAGAAGTAGTGTGCAGTTGAGAAGGGGACTACAGGGAAACAGCATGTACTAGACACATGGGTGTAATGGGACCGTGGAGGGAAGAGCAGAATCCTTCTCTTCCATGGTGAGACAGATTCAGACTCAGCTGTGCTCCATGGTAGTGATATTGTGGGGCCTGCTCCTCATACCTCACTGCACACCTGGAGGGTCAGGAAACCCACTTGTCTCATAAAAAGAGAAGAAACAGGAGGTGCCTGCTGGTCCCATGGCAGGCAGGCCACACAGAGAGCTTTCAGGGTGGGTTAGCACTTTCCCAGGGATCCCAGGGTGATGTATTACAGTCAGCCACTAACACAAGAGCTAAAAACAGCACCCAGAAGAACCCAAACTCCACCATAATAATATGGAAACCATGGACACAGAGGAAGTTACGGCTTTAAATCCAATGAGTGGAGTCAAACTCGAGCAAGTGCAAATACTCTATGGTAAACCACGGCACGAACGATCCCATGAGCACATACTTGATTGTTTTCGCTGCTTAATGAGATATAACATGAGGGTTTGCATTTTGAGATGACAACATTGAAGAGAAGGGCAATAAAAAGAAGCGAGGATGGGTAGAGGGTTAAAGGGGCCACAGTTTTACACTTACTTCATATGGTAAAGTGTTGTAAGCCAAGAGCAGAAGCCCTAAAGGAAGAAAGACATAAAACATTCAGTGGATCGCTTATTAAATACAATTTGCATAACATTAAGGTTTACACGCTGAGAGAGTGATGGGGTTTTAATAGGTCTAGTCTAGAGGCGCAAACGACTTAATTGCTGTCAAACTCTGGGAGAAGACTCCTGTCGGACTCTGTCCTACTCCATCATAAACATAGTGTGTCACATCGATGGTGGTGATCTTACCCAGTCACGCAGGTATATATGAAGTCATTCTCTAAATAATCTGCCTTTTCTTAATTTTTTGGGTTTTGTTTGTGCAGCTGGATGTTTCAGCAACTCAATTAAGGAGAAGTGCTTTGGTCAGTGTCACAAAAACAGTAGATTCACACTCAAACAGGTCACCCTTCATCAGCTATACCTCTAGACCTATCCTACTGTCTGGACTTGGATCCCTAATAAAGTTGGATTTACCAAGTCCTTGGTCTCTGAGTCTGATGGGCTGGATTCTGACGGGGATTTCTCCTTCTCACTCTGCTCTCCGTAGAACAGGGACGTGAGGCTGAGAAACAGAAGACATAACAGGATTATCATATTGATGGTGCATGTGTTCCTTCCTACAGAATAGGAAGGAAGGAAGCTTATCATGTAGATTACATCACAAGATGGAAAATACTGTACTGCACGAGCAACAAGTCTGCGCAATGAAACTACAGCCATTAAACACATTCTTGGAAGGATGATTTTCTAGACAGTGGCCTGGACAGCGTCCTAAAATTACATAGCAAATGTGAACCCATTTTGCATTGAGTGACCGTGGGAAGTTAATATCCGTTCTTTCCAACAGACGGGTGGGCACAGAGCCTGCAGACAGCATGAGCGCTAATTGTGTGTGGCTGGGTCTTTCAATTCCCCTGTCCTCCTCTTAGAACCAGTCAATCTGAGATCACATCAATGATAGGAGGGGAAATAAAAGGGATGGACAGTGTTCCTGGAATCCAATGAAGCATTGTGATGATTGAGTTCGGTGATGTTTCTTTCATGGTGACGTTGCTGACAGCTCTACAGCGTGACACTTTAAGCGGCATAATTGAATTAGCGCGACGGCCGACCCGCTCAGCAGAACACACAGATGTCACCGCCCCGGGGTGGCAGAGAGCTGCTGCTGTTCAGGCAGAACTAATCAACCCCACACTCACACTGGAGAGTGGCTCCAGGTCAGGCAGAAGTAAGCTGTTGCAGAGCCTCACTCTGCAGACCCACACAGACTACAGAGTGGACTGACTGGACCTCACATCACTCTGAAAGCTAACAAGGTCCTAAGATTCAGGAACATCTGAGCTACTATGAGTGTCCCATTATTGCCTTCTGCATATTATGGTATCAAGGCTTGGAACAAAAATAGATATACTCACAGATTGTGATAATGTGTAAAAAGTGATTAAATAGTATGTATACAATACCATACTGAATAAAGTGTTGGTCCCATGTTTCAAGATCTGAAATAAAAGACTCCAGAAATGTTTCATATGTACACCTGTCAGGTGGATGGATTATCTTGGCAAACAGCAGGATCATTATACAGGTGCACCTTGTGCTGGGGACAATAAAAGGCCACTCTAAAGTGTGCAGTTGTGTCACACAACACATTGCCACAGTCGTCTCAAGTTTTGAAGGCGTGTGCAATTGGCATGCTGACTGCATTCAATTTGAATGCACAGAGATACCGTGACGAGATCCTGAGGCCCATTGTCATGCCATTCATCCGCCGCCATCACCTCATGTTTCAGCATGATAATGCATGGCCCAATATTGCAAGGATCTGTACACAATTCCTGGAAGCTGAAAATGTCCCAGTTCTTCCATGGCCTGCATACTCACTAGACAGATCACCCATTGAGCATGTTTGGGATGCTCTGGATAGACGTGTACGACAGCGTGTTCCAGTTCCCGCCAATATCCAGCAACTTCGCACAGCCATTGAAGAGAAGTGGGACAACATTCCACAGGCCACAATCAACAGCCTGATCAACTCTATGCGAAGGAGATGTGTCGCGCTGCATGAGGCAAATGGTGGTCATGATTGGTTTTCTGATCCACGCCCCTAACTTTTTTAAAGGTATCTGTGACCAACAGATGCATATCTGTATTCCAAGTAATGTGAAATCCATAGATTAGGGCTAAATTACTTTATTTCAATTGACTGATTTCCTTATATGAACTGTAACTAATCTTAAAAAATCTTTAAAATTGTTGCATGTTGAGTTTATATTTCTGTTCAGTATAGTTATATTAAAGCAACGTAATAGTGTAACACCAGCTCCATCAGAGAAAGAAAGACAGGAAAACAAAATATTTCATGAGTATGAGAATACCTGTGCAGTACCATTTCTTCTCAGTAGGGGGAGCCAATCTCAAGTAGCACAGTGTCAAGTGGTAATGAACTATGCTTTCGATTTCTCCATCTTGAGTGTTGCCTCGACTTCTAAACCAGACTTAAAATACAGTGAGTACGAATGGAGGCTGAGGGGAAAGGCTTTACTGTACCTGTCATTCTCCATCAATAGAGCCAGACGACCATAGTCCCACGCAGCCTTCCTCAAACAGGAAAATATCAGCAAAAGAAACTGCAATACAAAGAATGAGTTATAAGACATACAGAGCTCATCAACCACCACCTCCCTGTGCCTCCATACTGGTCTAAAGCCATGCATGGGCAATCAGGACAATGTTTAACAAGGTATTGGACTAAGCTGGGATGAGATGAATAATACATTCTGCTTCTACTTTTATAGTCATGGCCAAATGCAATTCCTAAGCTCTCCGCATAGATAATATCCCCACGTTGTATCCCCTTTCTCCCTGCCTGGCTCTAATGTCTTCTATTTCTTGTCCCTGCGTGGGTGTCCACGTTCCGCTGATGCCCCACAGATTATTATTCTGTGTGATGTTAGGAATGGTGCAGAGGCGGGATGCTGTCACATGGGGGAAAATCAAGGTTTGAACTCGTCATTAAGACACTGCTATTAACCTTCTGTGTTGTCCTGACTACCAGGGAACAATCACAGTGAATCAATTAAACATGGGCTGGTAGACAGACTGATAACCAGAGAGGAAATCTAGTTTGACAAGGCCTGACAGCGGAACAGAGGTGTACATTCACTAATCTGTAGACAAAGATGGATGTCTATTATTATCCTGGAGTGGGGAGGGTAATCTCTCTGCATATTTGTAAACAGCATGTGCATGTATGGCGACACACTGTATGTTAGAGACAGGAGGAGAATGAGTAGTGTTTGTATCATGAGCAGATTCATGTGAAGGCTTGTAAGCAGGTCCGGCATTATGGGCGGGCATTAGCGGGCCTGGCCCGCCCCACCGCACCTCCTTGCCTGTCCAAATAAAATATTGAAATATTGATGATTTATTTGACCAAGACACACACCGACAGAAAGACGCATCAATCTCAGTTAAAGCATCCGAGCGAGCGAAACAGCGCCCCTCTGTCTCAGTATGTGTAGACCATATATCTGATGCTGTCTGGACCAAAAGAGTGGTCATACTATTTCTGGCCAGACAGCATCAGATACATGGGCTACACATACTGAGACAGAGGGGCGCTGTTTCGCTCGCTCGGATGCTTTAACTGAGATTGATGCGTCTTTCTGTCGGTGTGCGTCTCTGTCAAATAAATCATCAATATTTCAATATTTTATTGGGGTGCGGTTTCGCTCACTCGGATGCTTTCTCCTGTGAAATAATTTCAGCAGAGGGGAAGAGGCGAAGCTAGAGGGCTCACTCTCGGCAAAATCTGTCCAGAATAAGTCCAATGCGTTTCTATGGGCATAATATGCAGACCTAAGCTTGTTGCCTGCCTTCCTGCCTTTGGAACTCTTATTATTAGGGCGGAGACATGATCATCTCGTCATTATATACAGATCTCTGGTTTCAGCATCTTGCGAATTGGAAAGGAAAGTTGGCGGGTGCACAGTGCACTGTTTGGATGCTGTATTCTCCTAAAGTAAATTGATATTTTGCCCAAATTAAATAAAAATCATTCAAAATATTTCACCAGGGAGCATGACTTAGCCACAGAGGATCATTAGCTTATTAAAAAAAAAATAGCTGTGGATTGTTTCAAATCACAAATGAGTAGGCCTATGCCTATTTGGGAAGCCCGCAATTTGGGTAGTGGGCGTGGCAAAAGGTCTAGCTGATTGAGTTGCGGCTGTCAGTGATAAGCATCTAAAATATGTGTGAAGATAATGTGTCTTGAGTATAATTTAAAATGTTGCAACAAGAAGGGGAGGGGTGTCTGGCAAAGATATGGCGTATCTTTCTCCTGAATGCATGTGCTCAGCTGTCCAGAATGCGCTCAGCTGTCTCCCACCAATTCTTGTGCATTCATTGTCATTGTGTGAATTGTTTGCCCTTTGATTGTTTATTTTCTATCAATTCCCCATTACATGTCATCAGTAGGCCTAGTAAATGTACCATTAATTCCCCGTCATTTGGTTACATTAATTTCTGTTAATGCATGTACTGTATTAATTACAGTCATTTACCGTTCTCATTCTCAGACTGGAAACATTGTTTGCGGAGTTCACAACCTGCTACACTTGTGAGAAATTGTGAGTTTATTTCATAACCATTATGAGTTTTGTAAATCTTTCCATTGTCTTTTGTTTGGAGTGCTCCATGTCAGCAATGAGCATGTGTCTGGTTTCTCTTTCCTGATCAAGTAGGCCTATCTGGCCTGCTGCGTGCAAAAGTAGGAAAGCGCCCATTTGGCAACGTCTGATTGTCATAACTCACCACGTCCACCACTAATAAGCTGAGCTTCTCAGTAATTTGTTTCTTCACCTCACACAGTAAGTCAACAAAGTCTGTTTTAAAAAAAATCCATTGCTAATGATAGTTCCTCAGTATTTGAAAAATATTTCCAACACTCCCAGCCTCGATAATCACCAAGCCTCGGTGTGAAAGAGCAAAATATCATGATTCCAAACATCCAGTGGAAACGTCATAAAAAAAAACAGCTGTCTGTCCCGGGCTCACGAAACTCTGAGGCCCCGGAATAGGCTAGTTGATATCATTTTGCAAGTTCCCGAGGGACAGCTTCGGGCCGACCCAGTTGATGATTTTATACAATATTGCACTTCACTACTGTAGTAGCTCAATACAAGACAGAAAGAAAGGGAGGCAGAGTAGAGAGAAATGGGAAATATTTTCTACTGTTTTTATTTGACGACTTCATAGTTAGTTATAGGCTTACTGCTGCATTGGCCATCTCTGAGTTCTATAAAACGAATCATAATTGGCACGCAGATCGTTAGAAATGGTAGGATAAATTGTAAGCTTCACAAACTTAAAACTCAAACTGCCTATGGTCTTTACTATAACACCCATTAAAAAAAGTGAAAAATCTTTCACACATAGGAGGTCCCTTGAATTGTTTTTACCGTCTATAGAAATCAAAGGCCCGTTCAACTGATTCGTTCTGGCGCCGGCCCTGCTTGTAGGTAGAGTAACGGGAGATGTCAAGATTTAGGTTTTTCTTTTTATCTGCTTTCTTGTCGTATTATACCACTTCCTCTATCTGGGAAGGATAAGACCATGTTTTAACAGGATACTATAGATGTGAAGGATGTTTCTTTGGGAAAAATGTTTCCCTGGTACCAGAGATAAAATGAGAGGTTGAGATTGCTTTAGCACTGTAGTGTGTGTGTGTGTGTGTGTGTGTGTGTGTGTGTGTGTGTGTGTGTGTGTGTGTGTGTGTGTGTGTGTGTGTGTGTGTGTGTGTGTGTGTCAGCAACATACCATCCACAGGACAACATTGATGGCGAGGACCGTGGGCACCCCTCCAAAAGGCAGGCCCTGCAGGACACTGCTGCGGGAGTGGGAGCGGTAGCACCTCTCTGCTGCAGTGGTGTTGTCCTCCCCCAGAGAGTCCAGGAAGCCCAGCACATCCAGCTCCATATCCCTCCCATCCAGAGGGGGCGCCCTCATCACAAACAGCTCAGAATCCGCCATGAGTAAGCCTACGTCTCAGGGGCTGAAGTCATGCAACCATAACTGAGGAAATAGAAACAGGAAAGTGATTAATATTGAACGGTATGCAATTTTCCATGCCTTGCTTTTGATGTTTGCACTCAATCTCTATCAAATATATGTCACAGGAAGGCCAAAAAGATCATCAAGGACATCAACCACCCAAGCCACTGCCTGTTCACCCCACTATCATCCAGAAGGCGAGGTCAGTACAGGTGCATCAAAGCTGGGACAGAGAATGAAAAACAGCTTCTATCTCAAGGCCAACAGACTGTTAAATAGCCATCACTAGCACATTAGAGGCTGCTGCTGCCTATTGAAAATCACTGGCCACTTTAATAAATGGAACACTAGTCACTTTAATAATGTTTATATATCTTGCACTACTCATCTCATATGTATATACTGTATTCTATAATATTCTACTGTATCTCAGTCCATGCCGCTCTGTCATTGCTTGTCCATATATGTATATATTCTTAAATTCCATTCCTTACTAGATTTGTGTGTATTGGGTATATGTTGTGAAATTGTTAGATATTACTTGTTAGATATTACTGCACTGTGGGAGCTAGAAGCACAAGCATTTCGCTACACCCACAATAACATCTGCTAAACACGTGTATGTGACAAATAAAATGTGATATGTGACCTGTTTCAAGAAGCTAGGTATGTCTCACGTCACTACTTCACAGGAGATGCATTTTAACACTATATATATATATATATATATATATATGAGCGATTTTTATGTGTTTTTTATGCTTGCAATTCCACTCACTTGATAGTAAACCATAATTTAGCAGTTTTCACTATCTCTTGTCAAATATTGCATTGTTATCCAACTGGCCTTGACAATGGCATGCTACTGTATAGGACTAAAGTATGGATTCCTATGGGCCACTCTGCCTTTTTCTGTACAGGCACAAAGAGGATCTCTCCAACGCCTTCAGGCCCAGTTGATATGGCCTTGGCGGTGTACCTACGCACAATATATTTCATCTGGAGGTCACAAAATCAATCCAATTGTTTGTTTGCTGAGATAATGTTTGGCATGTGCTTCCTTCATGTCGCTTGTTGCCATAGTAGTTTGTCTTTTCCATTCACCCCAACACTGTCAAGTACAAAGGCATATTTGTAAGTCTGATTCCAGAGCAATTAAGCTATTTTTCACCCCATCAACACTCAATCATGTCATTTATGACTGGTGAAGCGCCTACTGAGTGATATTCCCTGGTCTTGTCAGCAGGCTATGGCAGAGTGAAGTCAGTCCTAGTATCACAGGCTTGAGACTTCCCCCATTCACCATGAGCTGAGTAGGAGGAAGACATAGGTCTATTAAAAAGCCATGGCTGGCTTCTATAAAGCTGTGTGAATAGCAGAGCAGCAGTGGACTGGAGCTCCATGTGGAGATAACGAGCGGCCGTCAATCTTCACTGGCCCACAGACAGGAAGTGGACAGATCACTGCTGTGAACAGTTAAGTGTGGGTTAGCCTGCAGTTAAAGCTTCATACTCAACAGAAATACATGTATTAAAGAACCGCAAATCATGATCAGGAGATGAATCGTTTGACAAGAGGAGCAGGTTGTTATTGTAAAAGAGAATGTGTTCTCAATGTCTTACCTGGTTAAATAAAGAAACATTACAGAGCATGCACCTCTACCAATACTTGAGGTGATGTACAGTAAATTGGTACAGTAAAAGTTAAGCATTTCATGATACTAGGTAGGTAACAACACATCTGCCACGCTGATCCTCAACACGGTGGCCCCTCAGGGGTGCATGCTCAGTCCCCTCCTGTACTCCCTGTTCACCCATGACTGCATGGCCAAGCACGACTCCAACACCATCATTAAGTTTGCCGACGACACAACAGTGGTAGGCCTGATCACCGACAACGATGAGACAGCCTATAGGGTGGAGGTCAGAGACCTGGCAGTGTGGTGCCAGGATAATAACCTCTCCCTCAACGTGATCAAGACAAAGGAGATGATCGTGGACTACAGGAAAAGGAGGGCTGAGCACGCCCCCATTCTCATTGACGGGGCTGTAGTGGAGCAGGTTGAGAGCTTCAGGTTCCTTGGTGTCCACATCACTAACGAACTATCATGGTCCAAACATACCAAGACAGTCGTGAAGAGGGCACGACAACGCCTATTCCCCCTCAGGAGACTGAAAAGATTTGGCATGGGTCCTCAGATCCTCAAAAAGTTCTACAGCTGCACCATCGAGAGCATCCTGACTGGTTGCATCGCCGCCTGGTATGGCAACTGCTCAGCCTCCGACCGAATGGCACTACAGAGAGTAGTGCGTATGGCCCAGTACATCACTGGGGTCAAGCTACCTGCCATTCAGGACCTCTATACCAGGCGGTGTCAGAGGAAGGCCCTAAAAATTGCCAAAGACTCCAGCCACCCTAGTCATAGACTGTTCTCTCTGCTACCGCATGGCAAGCAGTACCAGAGCTTCTACACCCAAGCCATAAGACTCCTTAACAGCTAATAAAATGGCTACCCGGAATATTTGCATTGACCCCCCATGCAGTCACTCTACATGCACATATTACCTCAACTAACCTGTGGCCCCGCACATTGACTCTGTACCAGTATCCCCTGTATATAGCCTTGTTACTGTTATTTTATTGTTGCTCTTTAATTTTTTATTTCAATTTATTTTAGTAAATACTTTAAAACACTTATCTTTCTTAAAACTGCATTGTTCGTTAAGGACTTGTAAGTAAGCATTTCACTGTAAGGTCTACACCTGTTGTATTCAACGCATGTGACAAATAAAATTTGATTTGATACTACGCATCTGAGAGGCTTTTCACTGTGTACTCAACTGATCAAAGAAGCTTGCTGAGGTTCAAAGTTTGTCGGTATACAGTGCATTCGGAAAGTATTCAGACCCCTTCCCTTTTTCCACATTTTGTTACGTTACAGCCTTATTCTAAAATTGATTAAATAAAAATAATTCTCAATCTACACACAATACCACATAATGACAAAGTGAAAACAGTTTTCGAAATGTTTGCAAATGTCTAAAAAACAGAAATACCTCATTTATATAAGTATTCAGACCCTTTGCTATGAGACTCTGGTCCTCTGAGACTGTGGTCCTCTGTAGCTCAGCTGGTAGAGCACGGCGCTTGTAACGCCAAGGTAGTGGGTTCGATCCCCGGGACCACCCATACACAAAAATGTATGCACGCATGACTGTAAGTCGCTTTGGATAAAAGCGTCTGCGAAATGGCATATTATATTATATTATTAGACTCGAAATTGAGCTCAGTTGCATCCTGTTTCCATTGATCATCCTTGAGATGTTTCTACAACTTGATTGGAGTCCACCTGTGGTAAATTCAATTGATTGGAAATGATTTGGAACGGCACACACCTGTCTATATAAAAAGGTCCCACAGCTGACAGTGCATGTCAGAGCAAAAACCAAGCCATGAGGTCGAAGGAATTGTCCGTAGAGCTCCGAGACAGCATTGTGTCGAGGCACAGATCTGGGGAAGGGTACCAAACAATTTCTGCAGCATTGAAGGTCCCCAAGAACACAGTGGCCTCTATCATTCTTAAACGGAAGAAGTTTGGAAGCACCAAGACTCTTCCTAGAGCTGGCCGCCCGGCCAAACAGACAGAAGCCACTCCTCAGTAAAAGGCACATGACAGCCCGCTTAGAGTTTGCCAAAAGGCACCTAAAGGACTCTCAGACCATGAGAAACAAGATTCTCTGGTCTGATGAAACCAAGATTGAACTCTTTGGCCTGAATGCCAAGCGTCACGTCTGGAGGAAACCTGGCACCATCCCTACGGTGAAGCATGGTGGTGGAAGGATCATGCTGTGGGGATGTTTTTTAGCAGCAGGGACTGGGAGACTAGTCAGTAGAGGGAAAGATGAACGGAGCAAAGTACAGAGAGATCCTTGATGAAAACCTGCTCCAGAGTGCTAAGGATCTCAGACTGGGGCGAAGGTTCACCTGCCAACAGAACAACGACCCTAAGCACACAGCCAAGACAACGCAGGAGTGGCTTCGGGACAAGTCTCTGAATGTCCTTGAGTGGCCCAGCCAGAGCCTGGACTTGAACTCAATCGAACATCTCTGGAGAGACCTGAAAATAGCTGTGCAGGGACGCTCCCCCTCCAACCTGACAGAGCTTCAGAGGATCTGCAGAGAAGAATTTGAGAAACTCCCCAAATACAGGTGTGCCAAGCTTGTAGCGTCATACCCAAGAAGACTCGAGGTTGTAAATCGCTGCCAAAGGTACTTCAACAAAGTACTGAGTAAAGGGTCTGAATAGTTATGTAAATGTGATATCATTTTTTATACATTTGCAAAAAAATTCTACAAACCTGTTTTTGCTTTGTCTCTATGGAGTATTGTGTGTAGATTGATGAGGAGAAAAAACAGTTATCAATTTTAGAATAAGGCTGTAACGTAACAAAATGTGGAAAAAGTCAAGGGGTCTGAATACTTTCCGAATGCTCTGTATGTCCCCTGGGCCTGGATGAGAACACAGAGGATATGAGCACATCACTCATACTGCTGTGTCCTCAGTCAGGGCCTGAGCAATCTAACTGCAGCTACGTCCACTCCCAAGCTCTCTGACCAATCAATACAAGACCATCTCTTAGTTCAACAGTATTTATATACACTTTCCACTGAGCAAATTGCCACAGTAAAGTCAATATCATCTGAGCCCTATCTGAACCTTGCTGTACTGCAAACTAATACTTAGATCTGAGTAGGAGACACGTTGAACAAGGTTATGTTTTCATTTTAAGGTTCCTCAAACCTTGATGAGTCATATTTTTGCAGCAGCAGTAAAAAGCCAGCCAAAACTGCATCACAATGATGTCCAACAACTGTGCTGTCCAACTTTGAGCTTTTAGGAGATAAGAAAGAGACAGAGAGAGCAACTAGAATGAGAGCGAGAGAGATGTTAGAGAGAGAGTGAGAGCTAAAAGAAAGAG